CGGCGGGAAAAACCGCTTTACTACCATTTCCTGATAAAATTACACATAATTATTACCAAAGTTTCAATTTGCCTCAAATAATTGAGGTTTTGGTGAAAAAAAGCAAAAAACACGAGAAATTCTTATGGACATGTGAAGCGCCCTTTTACTGCTTCTGATAATTTACACAAAATTATCCGTCTTACATTGTTTTTATTGACCAATATTTATAAATTGCTTCGTTTATTTTATAAAAAGTTTCAAAAAAGCAAGTACAACGAAATAACGAGTCATTTATCGCTTGCTTGACAGGCACTTGAAAAACCGCTGGGAATGGATGCACTCACGTTCAGTTGGTGAGTATGTCCAAAGTGCGTTTTTTCATTTTGGATTTGAAATGCATTTATGAGCGAATGAGGAATCCAACAAGAGGGGGTGTGAAATAAAGGTGCAGTCTGTCTTTGCTGAGAGACATTGAAAAGTGGTGTATTAAAAACATGTGCTAGGTTATACATTTACTATGTTGCTCGAGAGGTAATAGATTTGACTGTTGAGTATTTGTTTAATGGACGATTAAAAAATAAAAAAAAATATTAAGGAGTGAAAGGGGGTGTGAAAAAAGGTACACTTGCGGGTTAGTGTTTTTGAGTTTTTTATTTCTGCAAAAAATTGAAAAAATATTTAATAAAAAGTTCATTATTTTTTCATTTAATTATATTAATTTTAAAATGTTTTTTGGTTATTTTGACTTCAAAGAACAGTTTCGAAGTCAATTTTTCTTGATCCTCCTTTTATCATTCGGCAAATCCAGCCTTTACTTTACATAAAAAATAATTCACAAATTTCAATAACAAACATCGGCATCTTGAAAAGTCAAAGAGACTCTTGTAAACCTTGTTTTTGCATCAAATCGAGGAAAAGGTAAAAAATAAACTATACAAATAACTATAATCATATTATCATTTTATTATTAAATTATCAAAAGCGGTTTTTTCCACTTCTTTATTGGTTTTTTATTTCAGATCTTTTTATTGTTTCTGTCATATAGTTTCTTTTTGTAATATTATAATAGTTATGATATAGTTAAACACTTTACTGAACATTATTGTAATATAGTTATTTTATAATAATTGTATAGTTATTATATTGTCAATTGAAACTGTATGGTAATGATTATCTATATTTCGTTCTTAATTCATTATAATCTATGTTTTAGAATAATTTCCCTGTTTGTTGTGTATAATATCAATGTTTTTTTTTCAAGATAATTAATTAGTCAGCAATTATTATTATTATTTCTTGACTGTTTTTGAAGTATTGGATAAATGGCTGTTTATGTTTTATGGTATCAGTTTTGTTTTTTGTGTGTTGTTTTTGATGTCTATCAAATAATTTGTAAAAACCGAAAGCATTTATCAATCGTTTATCACAATTGTGAGTGTAAAAAGTTAATTTAATCATCAACCGCCATTTATTTTTAGATGATTCATGAGGATTGTTAATTTTTCTGAGGATGGTAAATATCTTACACATAATTTCTTTCAATTTGGATTTTTTTGCCTAAGATCAAAAAGGTATATTTTGAAACACGTGATTTTCTTTAAAAATGCTATTTATGCATTTTTTTGAAAGATGATTCTTTCAGTTGATTTTTACAAAAAAATAATCTATTTCTATTTTCTGATTTACCACTAGACTAACCTTGGTTAATATGAAAACATTTGACAGACATTTAAATTATCGAAATAATCGATTTTTTAATCAAAATCACAAAACAAATTAATCGAACAATTTTTAATCTTTTTTTCACAAAAAATACAATTTATTATAAATCAATTCATGATATTTCAAACAATATAAATTGATAGAAAATAACGTATTAATAACGTATACTTTATGCGATGACAATTTATGTATTTGCGCAAATTCAAAAAGAGAGGTTTTGGATATCGATAAAACAACGATTGATAAATAAACAAATTTGTAAATTTATTTTTGTTTTAAACGGTTTTATTTATTTTTCAAAACATATACACACAAAAAATAAATGTTTATATTATTTTTTTATTATACAATATTAATTTTCAATAGAAATATTTTCAATTTAATAATCAATTTTATATATTATTTGGCGTTTTTGTTGTGTTTTGACGATTTTTGATATAATCAATTAACAAAACTCACTTTATAAAAATTCTTTGATAATTTTATTTATAGATTTTTAAATCAATAGTGGCAGTGCCATAAATATCTCTGAGGATGGTAAGTCGTGTAACAAACAAACATTATCAACACAGACTTAAACATCTAAGAAGTGAAATGACGTGTTCCCATATTCAAAAATAGTAACTTACTCAATATACATTTCAGACAGATGTAAAAGTGTAAACTTTCTATTTCTGTCATCCTCAGAAAATAATTGCCATCCTCAGAACTGTAAATATGTTTAAAACACAAGTTAATATCAAAATGAAACATTCTTTTTAAAATATACAAATTATGATTGACTTTGTTATTACAATAAATTTGAATAATTGCATAAATTACAAAATTATTAATAATTTTGTTATTTTAAAATCACATTTTTAGAAAATCAGTGTTTTCGACTTTTTCAATTTTCATTTTGATTAAAAAAACAATTATCATTTAAATGTAAATTTCAATCATTTTGTTATTAAAAAGGATTCGAAAATAATATCAATAAGTTTATAATCATAATGTGAACAAGTACAATTCACACTTTATTATTTCCCGTCTCAAGTTCGCGAGTTATAATTATTGTTTATGTTTACTGATTATTGTTGTGTTTTTTTGATTATTTTTAATTTTTTGGCATTTATGACAAATTATTACCATAATTTAAAAATTGAACTTTGACTCGAAATATTAAGTGTAAATTATAACTTGAGTTATGAGAGTGGGCCTTATGGGGAACTGAACCTTATGGATTTGATTTTTGTATCCTCAGAAAAATATTTTTTAATAAGGATAGCTTTAATCCTGAGGATACACCTTATCCTCAAGAAACCCTTTAATGTGTAGTTTGAATTTAGCTTCTTTTTCTTGTGTTTTTCGCTGCTATTTGTGCATCCATTAATTGCCCTTGCCCTTGGTTTATAGTTTTTTTACGCTCAAAATTTGTTAACTTTATGCAAATAATCAGTAAATAAGATGGTAAAAGTATAGACTATATAATTGATTTTTATTAGTAAAGTGGTAAATAGCTTTGTTGTGTTTTTTACTTAAAAAAACGTCCATTATTGTGGTAAAAATAATTAAAAATACCTTAAAATTGCTAAAATAACTGGTAAAAATCAAATAAATTACAGGGAACATTTTTGTACAGCGGCATGTTATAGTAAAAAACCTAAAAAGTCCTGACTGTGCCTTTATGTATGATCTAATAAATAACTGTTATAATAGATAAATATGTATAGAATTGATTTTTGAAATGATCATGAAAAGTGTATTCATTTTTGTTGAAATTACTAACTTAATGTACCACAACAAAGAACTGAAATCATTTTTTTTTTGTATCGTCTGCTTATGCTTTTTGATGATAAAATATTTATTTTTTTATATCTTATGTATATATGTGAGGGAAAAACAAGTTAAAAGCAAAATGTTGTAAAATGTGCTATTCTAGTAATTTCAGTGTCATGATTTTAAGTTTAGGTTTGATGTTACATGTTTACACTCTAAAAATTTATCACGTTTTATTTTTGACATTTTATACAAATAAAAATGTTGTGATTAACAGTGAAACCTGATACATAATCTGTTGTTATAAAATTATTGAAATTAATAATCAATTAATGTTTGTATTATATATAATAATAAATGTTGTTGTGTTAATAAGGTATATATGTTTAATTATGTGTTTTTACATGAATAACAAGAAAACAATAGTTAAGATAGAATAATCGTATATAACAACTGTCTTATATGTTATTATCAACAAAAGTTGTTGAATGAAAATTGTGCACATCGACGTAGTTACACAATGAACTTGATGATAATCGTTATTTTTGTTTTAATGAATATCATAATCATCACACAATAGTTATCATTTACTATCATAAATTCGATCTAATAAACAACTATTATTTAGTGGAAATTTAATTTGAGAATTTCCTTTGTATCAACACTGTTGTATGTTTATTTATTGTTTATTTGAAAATAAAATTGCGTTGATAATTTTGTTATGATAATTGATAAAACGAACTGTTGAAGTTAATGATGATTTTATATAATCAATTCAACAATGTGAAAATTCAGAACAAAATAATTTTATGAAATTTAAAAAATATTTTTTTGTTATTTGGTAAAGAGGAAAGTAAAATGCCGATTTACAAAAAAAAATAATTAATTCGACCCAAAAGATCTTAAGATTACTTGGGTCGTGACAATATCGAAGGTCGCCTTAACTTTTCTGTCATAAATAACTTGGGACACATCTGAATTTTTTAAGATGTTTCGATTGTAAAACTTTTAAAGTTTTTAATAATTTTGTTGTCATCTAAAATTGTTTTTAAGAATAATCCTTATTACTATAAATAGCATTAATAGTATTATAATTTGAAGTAAAAATTACTATAATGAAAAACAAGATTATATTAAGATGAACTCTAACCAAAAAACCAAAAAATATTTATTTAGATTTAATACTTTAATTATTAAATTTAAGTAATAACAAAATGTTCTTTTTTTATCAATGGAATTATTCATCTTAAAACAAATTCATTTCATATTAAATTTGAATCAAAATTATTTGATTGAAAAAAAAATAATTTACTTTTCCCAAAATTGCTTTGTATTTAATTATTTACATTTATGAA